CAGCACTTGAAAGGCCGAATTTCTGGACACACAACTGTCACAGGGAAACGTAAAGCGCTATAAAAGTAAGCAATATATAAGAGCACATTTGAGCTGTAACTGTTTGTTGTAACGATGAACAAGGATCAGAAATAAAAGTGAAGAAAAATGACGATTACAGGCAAAATGAAAAATACAATAGAGAATGAAAGACCGGGTCAATCAGCAATCCTAAATTTTTCCAAATGTTACGCTATAAAAAGTTTTTACAATTGATGGGTGTGCGCTCAATACTGTCGGAGTAAAGCCACTAAAAAGATTTTTTCCGTCATTTTCCAAAAGACACGACCAATTAAAATATATTCGACAAAAAGTTTTAAGGAATGAAAAAAAAAACCAAAAATGCCAGTTACCATAAGTTGATGTACCGTACGCAGCTACCTACTATAAAAGTACCTAGATCCTTGCCTGGTTTTCATACCTAAACTTATACGACGCAAATTTTGTATATTTTGCAGGACCGATACGGCACCGTTCATCATTCAACTCGCACTGTGCGGAACGACTCTGAATAGATGAATGAAAAAATGCCATTACTACCAACCAATGTGTGAGGACTTTCGGGAAAAGAAGAAGACAAAACGACAGCCGCCGATATGCATAAACAGCGGACGTACGAATGACCCGTCAAGCTGGTTGTCCGCCGAACGTTTTCGGCCCAGATTTACAATTTTTAGTATCCGGTGATAAAGTACAAAAAAAAAAAAAGCTTTAACGGAAGGCAGGTATGCATGGTGTTTCTGTCAAAGATAGGTCGGATTTTAAGTCCTCTATTTCAAATTTTTCAAAAATTTTCTGCGAGGTGCATTTCAGTGGGATGAATACCTTTTCGTAAATGACGGGAAAAAACCTTTATTTTAAAAATTCAATTTTTTTATTTGGACGATCATAAGGATATTGCAAATGTGATAATGAACCACAGAAACCAAAAATCATCAACAAAAAGAAGTACGGAGGGTACGAATAGGACGCAAATCAACGTTGGAGGCGCTGTTAAAATGCCAAACTAACAACCTATACACATATATACCATCGAAACGCTACGCGTTTTATGCGTTGGTCGTGTTGTTCGTTCCTTTTATCTGTTTCCTTTGTCCTTTCCCCGATTAACCTCTTTGTGGCTCTGCTTTTTTCACGCTCCTAACACTTTTTCCCACTTTCCCCACCTAAATTCATCTAATACTTATCCCAGTATTCTTCTCAAGCCGCATAATGACAACTTTTTTTTTCAGTCCTTTTTTTGCGGCAGCAACCTCGGATTACAGAGTAAATGAAAATCTTGGTTAGGAATGAAAGTTTCAGATAAATTTCTTCTGGTCACAGCTTCATAATGTCACTTTCATTAAAAAAGATTTAAAACTGAAGTTCTTGGATAGACTGTTCGAATAGTGGATCTCATAGAACCATTGTTAGTAGGGAGAAAAAAAAAACAAGCATTTGCTATTTGGTAATTTGTGCTTATGTGTACAGGGTTTCGGACTTTTCCCTTCAGACTATCAGAAATAAAGCCATCTTAGCAGCGTTTGGATTCCTGGAATACTATTGTTGATTTGTCTGTAATAAACCACTTGTAATTAAGTAAATTTTCTTTCCTTCCTTCTTTGAGAATCCTAACTTCTGGTATCTCCCTACTGAGTAAAAGATGGAACAATATCCCCCACTCTGCTTACTAAACATTCTCTGTCTTTTAAATCTTTCAATTCGGTCATACTGCACTTGACGGTGCTACTGCTTTTGCCAAGACTGCTCACTGCTTCCCAAGATCCTTATGCTTGCAAGCTACAAATTAGGTGTGTAAAACTTTTGAGAAGTAGGTCAAAAATTTTAAACTTCATCAAATACACACAGGCAATGTCCAAATACAAAGCATCTGTCGTTAACTGAGAACAGCAATTAAAAGAAGAGTTTCGTGTGAATTTTTGTGGAAATAACTGTCTTACGTGACAAAAGAAGCTAAGAAATTTCATGTACATGGCTGAAAGTCAGTGAAGGTGTATCAGCGCAAAATTTTTTTAAATAGAGTTCCAGTGAATTCCGCTTATATATTAATGATTCAAAAATCAACGGTCAAGTTAAACATTTTTTAAAATATCATGAATAACAGGTAGAACCTCAAATCATGAAAAATCCAGTGACTTATTTGTGTAAGTGGAAATCAGGCAAACTCATATGTTGAAAGTAGAAATGCTTATACTACGAATAACATTTTAGTTTCTGTAATTAAGCTAGATTTTTTTTTGAAAAATAACCAGTTTTTAAATGTAGAAAAATGTGGACAAAATTTGAAATTAAGGCGAATTGTGAATGATAAGAGTTACTGGAAATTTGATCGGCACTATCAGTGACCGTTAAAATTTAAATTATTTTTCAGAAGATAAAGTGCATTGCGTAAATTTTAATGCAATACTAAGATTCTTCAGGAAAATCTTTAATCATTCCGGATTTTAGCAGTTATCTTCTGGGCAGACTCTAAAAACTGAATCTACTAATAGCATGGTGTTTCAAAGGAACTTAGGAAATAATCTTAAATTACTGCAACCTCCTAACTCTTCCACTGTGCGGCGCAAGAGCTTCAAAGCCAGAATAGTCTCAAGGTGGTATTCATCGGAAGGCTAACTGCAAAAGTTGAGAGATACTTGCCGGAACGATTTCTTGCGTAGCACAGTGAATATTGTAATGCAGCTATTCTCCCTAAAATGCATGGGAATGTGCTTTCCTCCTTCTTTTTTCCTACAACCAACTACCAATACGCAGCAAAGATTTCTCAAAAGGCGTTACAGCCGTGTGAAAAGTTGGTATCTAGTAGCAACAGTTTTTTAGACAAAGCAGGGCACAATTTTTTTTTAGTATGTGGCAACAGTAAAACATGGAAAGGAAAAGTGTTTTGAAAGCTCTAAGAAATGTTGCACGTTTTCAAGAAATGTAAAAGAAATATTTTTAACCGTCAACAACAAGTTGCCTTAAAATTTATCACATAAATTAGCCAAAAATAACAATCACAAAAGTCTGTCTGCCTGCTTTTCTAATTCCATAATTTTTATTGCATCAGTAAGCAAGGTTAAAAAATTCTCTTTATATCGGGTGGTAAAAACAAGAGGATTAGGAGTTGTGACCCATTGAACCAAACTACAAGCCGAAATCACAGCATATACAACAATTAGCTTTTTAGATCACAGTGCACTGTTAAACTATGAAGGCAGTCCTAACAACGATGGAATTAATTTAGCAATGGAAAGACGGTATTACAAGAGGCTTTGTCACATTATAGAATTTAAATCTGTTTCATGCGTTACTGTATTCCTTTTCGGCTAATGGTGAAGAACATTTAGAAATTGCTGACACCTGTTTAGCTTCCATACTTTATTCTCAATAATTCTTCACCTTATTGGCCCGTCTGTGGCAGCAGTACTGTTAAGAAAACAAGTATATGGTTCTTCCAACTTACATTTACAAAAAAACTGAGAAATAACCAACTTGTCATACTCTTACTAAAGAAAGTAGCATTGACTGGTGTGCAGCCTATGCTATTAACGTACACTTTAGCGATAGAACTGTTAAAACCACCTCCATATTGACTGAGCGATTCTGAACGAACCAAAAAAAACTTTTATTTCAAGTGGCCTGTGTCTCAATTCCTTTCCTTAAATTCAAAACGAAAGTTAAAATTCTAAAAAAAAGAAAAGTACACTCATATATGATGCATAAGTATTTTTAGCAACAATGAATTTGATTTTTTGAGCTAGAAAAACTGTATTATGCAAGGCGCTGCAACGCTGTTGAATCTAGATTCATTTCTCAGATTACTGTAATTTATTGTCGCTGAAGGTGAGCGACACTTGAAAATTACTGAGACCTATATTATCCAGCTTCCAAACTTGATTAATAGTAAATCCTCATTATTACACTGGTACGTTCACAGTTTTTGTTCTTCTCTTTTTGTTCATCAAACACCTCCTACATTCTAGTGGCTCTCTACATAGTCAAATTGGAAAATACTCGCGTATTTTCGGAGAGTTACCTCGTTCTCGGACTGTATGTGAGTATTGCATTAAAAAAATGCATATATATACATATGAATTATTTAGGTTTGCACCTCATTTGTACAAAGAGACTCTCAAAGAATGGAAGAAGATACTATTGTAATTGCAAGCGAGAGTATACATCATAGTCGACTAACACCATTAAAGTTGAGTGTTATATCTAAACAAAAATTTTGTGCAACATTTTCACACTTTCGTTTTTGGATGATAAAAACAATATTGTCCGGTCTACGCGTTTTCGCAATCAGTTCTTCTGCGTACTTCTTCAAAACTAATATTTCTTAGTTATGCTCTATTTGGTTTTCTTGACTGGTATTTTAATATTTTACCAGTGTGTAAGCAAACCTGCTACGGTATTACGACTATTTCGCGTCTTTAGTAGATCTGCAATAGATTTTTTTCATTTCAAACTACAGCAGATACCAACTGGATTACAAAAATTCCTCTATATCTAAGAAAGTTGTATTACTGGGAGTATTACTGGTATTACTGGAAATTTGTTGAGGAACGACGACGACTGTTATGGTTGATAAAGAAATATGGCCTTATGTTGGGTACTATCAAGTATATAGCCCCGAGTATTCGTCACTTAGATGGGTTACATTTACCGTCATGTTTTGTTTTATGTTTTCTTACTAGAAGTTTAAGGGACTAAACATTTCTTCACCTTTTTAGAAAACTGTGATGTGTTACAGAAGACCCATGCTAGTTATCTGCTTGACCATTGACTATCGCTGTCGTTCCTACTATAACTTGCTTTAGTAAAAAAAATCTGTCGTTTCATCTAACTTACGTGTGTCACCGTTGTTTACTTCCTATTCTTTCTTTGTTACTATAACTTCATTTTCAGCATGGATTCACTGTTTCACCACCACCAGACCGCGGTATCACCACTTTTACGCCCAATGACTGTTCCGCTTCCAACAGGTCTGTCCGTGATTCCATGTCATTTTACCCCAAGGGTTCCTGGATACTCTGTTGGTTTTCCAGCAGTGCCGATGCCGCCGTTTCCTATTCCTGCGCCAGCCATATCAGCCATTATTTCTTCCAACAAGCAGTCCGTTATTGACAGGAAATTGCGGCGTAAAGCCGAAACGCACAAGGTTTTTTGGAATCTTAGAATTCTCTTTCTTCCTCAATGCTAATGGTTTTGATTGCGACAGACCATACTTTCTAGACTATACCTTGTCGAGCATGGAAAGACACTGGTCGGTGTAATTACGGAGCTCGTTGTAAATTTGCTCACGGCGACGAAGATTTAAGAAAAGTACCGGTGGAACCAGCTGTGAGTTAACGATTTTTCCTTGGGTTCAGTAAATGAGCGGGTTTTCGTTAAACTTATCATTTAAATCCTCCTACGTCAAAATTCCTTTCCAGCTCTGCCCCGAATAGCTAACCAAAAAACTTGCAGAAATTGTTCAATAATCCTCGGTACCGCACAGAGTTGTGCGTGAAGTACCACTACCTTGGATCGTGCCCTTATGGAGACCGGTGTTCATACATTCATGAACCAACTCCACAAGTTGACCTTGAAAGGTGCTTAGAAGAGCTCTCCACTGACTCATCGGCCTCTAGCCAAAATCATGTACCTGGAGATGGCGACGCATTTCTAGATCTGCACGAAGAGGAAACTACAAAAGACGCAGGGTAAGTTTGTTCAGAGATTATGAAATAAAAAAAAAAACCGAGGAATACTGCAAGCTGGTAGAATTTACAAGTTTTTAGGAGATATTGTAACTGGTGTCGGGACTTTTCAGGTCCAGTGACAAGGGTAAACAGGAACCTCCAAATGTTTTCCGTGATCCTTTCGTGTCTGAAGAGGAAAAAGAAAACATTGAGTTAACTCCGCTACCATTTATGGAATCATTTTTAAAAAGGCCATTCCACGTACGTTAAGGAGTAACTGTGTATTAATTATCCAACTATCTGCTTACTATTTATTTATTTATTTGTCTATTTATTTATCTATTTATTTATTTATTTATTTATTTATTATTTATTTGTATATAGGGCGTAAAAAAGCAATGTTCCATATGCTTAAAGGTTAGTTTAAAGATATATAAAAACTTGTAATGTGAAGCATTAGGTTGTAAAAAATGCCTTTATTTTATTAAGAGAATATTCTATTAAGGATAAGTCGGTAATAATACGGTGTCGCTTTGTTGAATAGAAAGCATTTGTTAAACTAATAAATTTGAAGTTGAATACAATGTTGAAACACTTTGACACATATTAAAATGTAGAAAATACGAAGGGTAGAAGAAATAGCCGGCCATCAAGCCAAGCTATGAAAGGGGCATATGCTACTGGTAAAATGAATTTTGGTGCTATAACGCAAAACGACACTTTCTGGCGCTGGAGTTAATTATCAGTGGAGGGCGTCTCTAAAGAAATTTAGTTTTCCGGACGTGTCCAGTAGAGAAAGCTACTTATAACCTTTCCCAGTATGACAGGATCTAGGAATACAGTCAAGATCTTTATGTTCATCGTTCAGGAAGATGCGAACTGCAAGCTGAAGCTCTTCAAATATTAGAATTGCTTCAAATGCGGACAAAACCGGAAAGAGTTGCTGTGCCCAGCGACCACCCCTTTTCACCTCCTTTTGACTAGCCTGAAGGTCGTCGTTTTTTCGGAGTG